AGGTCGTGCATTAATTTGTCGTCTTTAGATGACACTGGAATGGGTAGCTTGCTAAACTTAGTCTCAGCCGTTGATTTGCGCTTCGCTTTGTTTCTGCATGCTCATTCAGCCACTCTCTGGTGAAGCAATTTTGTACCATTCTTGCCCATGCGTTTGAAGCACTTTGCTTTCTTTTTCGTCAATTCTCTGACGGTACTTTAACTTCTAAACTGCCTCCCGGAACTCAAATAAACGTTTCTATCCGTAACCTTACCGGGCACGATATCCTCCGTCCGGCTCGCTGGTAGGAGATAGTTGTCCCTCAATGGTCGTCTACTTATGCACAGATTCGATATCTGCACAGATGCCTCGATAATCTGTTAAAGAAATATGTTCCGTTCAGACCAATGCTTAATACATAGTTGGCGAGACGAGCATAGTTTCAGCGTGGCAGCCCTTTGATCCGGGTGATGCTTCAAGACTGTCACTCAAGGCTTCCCATGTATTGTCGCAGAATTGCCGAAGAGAAAACAAAGTGCTTTAAGGGCATGGACAAGAAAGGTGCAAAACTGCTTCAGCAAGGGGGTAGCTGAACGAGACCGCAAACACAACGCGAAGCGCAAGCTATCTTGTTCAATTTCATTAAAAGACAACAAATTTGTGCCCAACCTGTTGTCCTAGGAGAGGATGGAGCGACAAATGCGGGTGCTAAGGCATGAAGCCTGATTCCACACGGCGGATGCCTAACCTGTCAATTTTTTTGCTGCAGTAGAGTCAATTCTCAGCCAAACAGAAGCGACGGAGGAAGCAAAGAACCTTAAGCGGTACCAAATAATAGACAATAAAACTTTTCATTTCGGCGATAGCATTTTATATTTCTAACTAACAACCTACTTTACCCGTGAAATCGTAGTCGATAGGTCACAATAGCTTGCACCTTGTAAGACGATATTATTGGCGCATTCGAGCTCAGTCTACCGAGATCCATGTGCAAGCTGGACACAGTCCGCTTAATGTTGGACTTTCTAGGGAATCCGGCCAATAACTTTGTTGAACAGAATGGGCCACAGAATAGAGTCTTACCGAACGCTAGACATAAACACGAATTATGGTGACTGGTTGTTATGGACCAGGACGCGTGTGTTGGTGGAATAGTAATAGGCCATGATCGTGGTAATCATTTTTGGTGGCACACCATCTTCTGCCAGTATCTGTTGTAGGGATCAAAGGTGGACGGAATTGAACGCGGTAGCAAAGCCAAAAAATAGAACGGTCGTCGATTGTCGGTAGCTATGGCGGGACTCAAGGTCGCTTCTTTGCATGAATACCTGGTCCACACATCCACGCTCAGCTGTGAATCCGTCCTCGTGGGGCCTAGTCCTAGAATTACCTCTGAGAAGAAAAAGAGCGAATGCCTCCGTCCTCGTGCGGCCTAGTCCTAGAATCACTTCTGAGGAGAAAAAGAGCGAGTGCCTCCACGGAGTGCCTCCATGGATAAGGCTCATGCAACGCTTGTTCTTGCATCTCCTATTCATTTCTTTCCTGTGAACAGATCCAAGGATAGCTAGTCACAGAAACGGTTTCATCTCTCAAGTTTTGTAGCATCACCTGGCTTTTAAGTACTCGATTATCTATGTATGCAAACCTTTGAACCAACTTAAACTGTTTGGGGCAATGCAAGACAATGCATTTGGTAAATTTACAGCGCTAGCTTCCACGTCCCACATGCGTTTGCGGATGAGTAAATTTATAATAGGATCGATGAACGACCCGGCTGTCTTCGAGGTTTCGGGAGGAGCCCAAGAGCTGCTTTACCAATTTATCCAATTTTTAAACTTTCCTTTAAACTGGCAACCAATAAATAAATATGTTTACTGATTTTCAACTGCATGTCAAACTTTTAAAGGGACTTCGACTTCCGAAATGGGGCAAGTTGGTAAAGCTAAAACGCACACACTGCTGTGAATGAATATGGAAGAAGTAGCGTGACGTTCTTAACTATCGTAGAGCCTGAGACCGTGGGTGTGGAGGATTCCCGACCAAAGCCCCGGCCGCGAACTCACATCGCCAATGGGGACTCTGGTGCGCTGACTGAACCAACGCATGGGGATGACTCCATATCACCCTTAATGTCTCGCTCCTCCTCCCACTCCTCCGTCTGCTCCGTCAGTTCCGCATCTTCTTGCTCCGTGTGGTCTTCCTCCTCTTCTTTATCCCCGCCTTACTGCTCCCCAGAAATCCCTACCAAGCCCTTCACCCTGATTCCCTCCCCTAGAGCTGCCGAAGACCTTCGTACTCCACAATCCTCACTAAAGGTAAGTGACCTTCATAGAAAAATATTGTTATCAGACAATAATGATAAAATTAGCTGTACTCATTTTTCTATAATTTCGCTTTCAGCCTCGAATCCGATGGCAACAACGATTACGGCGGTTTCTCCGCAACCTCTGTTGTTTCAGCGTCTCACGCACTGAGGTGGAATGATTTCCCGTTATTTGTTGTTAATTTCACTTTCTATTGTACATATGTTGTATATATTTTCAGGTATGCATATATCAGTGTGAATTTGAATCCTTTTTTGCAAATGTTAATGCTGTGATTAAATATTCTATTTTACACTCTTTCTTGTTTTAACCGAAAATACGTCCCTGGGATATGCAGAGATTCCTATACCCCACGAGGTAGTACAGTAAGAAACTGACTCGCCATGCACATGGTGTGATATTAGCTGCAGTTAAAGGAATGTTAACCTCTTTAGGCAGGGGTTTGTTGCAGCACACGAACACAAATAGGAGGTAATCTATGGCAAAATTCGACTTCGCCAGTTTACAGGCAATTTTAAAAATTATGTTAAGTGGTAAAGCACCCCTTTGGCGACTTCCAAAACCTAGAAGACAGGAAAATACCTAAAACAAACTCTCTCTTTTGCAGCCAGTAGTGGTTTTGTTTTTGTTTTGTACTTGGGCACTAGTGGGCGAAATAGGGGGTTTGATTCAAATGAAACAAACCTGACTTCAAAGGTACGATACTAACGCAAGATATTACAGTTACAGATGGAGTTAACAGTTTAGCAGAAAAATAAGTCTATCTCGTTGAGTGACTTTAGTTCGGCGCGGGGGAGGTTGACACAGGAACACAATGTTCGCAATTTTCCTTGTGTGTAGTGGTTTCGAGGTTCTGCACCACTGGAATGTTTGTCGGTGAACGGTTGCTCGCTGTCGGCTGAAGAATTCGCCGACTGCGTGCCGCAGATTAAGCTCCATTAGCTTCAGCATGAGACCTGGCAGGGTTAAAACTTCCCAAACTCCATCAGAATG